ACCCTTTTATTTCCTCTGGTAGGGCATTCCACTGATTAGTGGCTTTCACTGCAAAAGATGATAGTCCAAATGCGGAACGACGAAAGGGAGCCAGACAGTTACTCCTAAGTGATAGTCTGGTGGATCTCACAGAGGTTTCACAGCGAAGATTAATAAAATCACTAATACAAAAGAAGCCAGACCATTTAAGATTGTATGAACCATACACAAATTTGAATAAAGTCTAAAATTGTCAAAGGTTAGAAAATTATGTTTCTCTTTAATTCTACAAAAATGAAAATGGTTAGGTTTTTTATCTAAAATCTTTAATGTTTGTTTATATAGAGATTTTAAGGGTTTAATAACAGTTTCACCCGCTTGACCCCAACATTTCAATCAGTAAGACATATGAGAAAGGATTGTAGCATGCATAAAAGCCTTAGCTACATCAAAAGAAAGACATTGTCTTATTTGTCTAAAGTTTGCCATGTTGTATTTAATATTCCTCACCATTTTCTTTATCTGTTTTTTAAATCTGAGATTCAAGTCTAATATTATACCACGATAATTGAGCTCATTTACTATTTTTAACTTTTCACCGTTAATAATAATATCAACATCAGGAGATTTAACATTTGTTTTAGAGAAAATAATTCCTTTTGTTTTACTGATGTTTAGGCTAAGACATGACTGTTCCAGCCACTGTGTGATCTTTTCAGTAGCAGCTTTTAACTTCTCAGACACTAATTCTGCTGTTTTTGCATGTGTAAAAATAACTGTATCATCAGCATACAATTGTACTTGTATCCCTTCACACTGTTGCGGAAGATCGTTAATATACAAACTAAGGGCCCTAGTACTGATCCTTGGGGTACACCCATTGTATATTGCAGATCACAGGACTTAACCCCTTTAATTCTTACACGTTGTCCTCTGTTTAGTAAGTATGAGGATACCCATGCCAAAGCTTCAGGTGAAAATTGAAAAGGAGACAACTTAGAAAGGAGAACTGCATGATTAACGGTACCAAAGGCCTTACGTAGATCTAAAAAATATAGATCTAAATATACAAATATATAAAATATACTTACATATATAAATATTTAAGTGATCGATCCTCCTATTTATATTTCGGAAATTACTTCAAGCAGAATGATCACTCTGTACTCTTTCTGATACTATACTGCTACAATAATTACCATTGATGCAAGTGGCTATCCTTACCGAATGAACTTCTTCATAGCAGATTGAAGAGAGTCATATTTGACTCTCGGCTACAAGGTGGATGCATTGAAAACACACTTCTTGAGACACTGTATGTGTTCTGATATTGTGATGTATCACCAAGAAATACAAAAATGGAAGTTAAAAAAGTAAACCAAAATGAATAAGGACAAATAGTGTCCTTTTTTTTACATCAAATAGTGATTCCTCAAAGGCTTTAGAACACAAAAAAACTGGGTGAAAAAATAACTATTTACACTTCTGTGACTGTAGTCACCATACATTTATTTTTTTATTTTTTTATTTTTTTTTGAAAAACAGAATATTCCATTCAAAATGAATATTCTGTGTCAATTTACCAAACACATACAACAACATCCTCTAGATAGCACTGTTCACTGTATTTGCACATCAGTCGTTTGGCCATGTTATTTTCTTTGAAAAGAATCTAAGTTTGAAATCTGTAAAATCTGACCAGTACAAATGCGTGTATCTTCAAAGTAATTGTCACGCTGTGGTGTGGAATGAAGACAGGCTGAGGTGGACGCAAAGCTCCAATTCAAAAACATTTACTGAAATAACTCCAAACGGGTACAAGGAAGATAGGCAGAAGGTTACAAACACACACACTGACTGACTGAAACAGGGAGAACTAAATACAAGCAGGAATCAAACATAACGATGTGAAAAACAGGCGACACAGATGATGAAGACGATGTACAGGTGGGTGAATGCGGGAGTGAGTTCAGGAGTGGAGACAAGAGCATCCTGGGAAGTGTAGTGCTGATGACAAGACAGACTGGTGCAGACGAGGACTGTGACAGTAATCCAAATGTGTTGTGTCCGAAGAACATAATAAAAGGTTGTGTCTGGTAATAAGACGCATGGGATTTATTCCAAACCTCCCCTTTTTCACATTTCTAGGACACCTGACAATGTCATTGATTGTTTTATATTGGTCTGTGATTGGTTCACACACCAACAGATTTAATCTTTCTATAATTAGAAAGGGTAAAGTACCATTTCTCTGTTTTGGGGTAAAATGCTATAGATTTGCACTCAAATGCGGAAGGTTTATCATTCACTGAAGTCAACACAGTCTATTCATTATTACGCAGACAAATGTCTTTAATTTCAGTGATATTATTTTCACTCGCCATGAATATGCTGGTGAAGTCGACAGAGGTCCCCTCACCAAGTCCGATGTCCGCCAGCCGCCAAGTAGAATTTTCATGGATGATCTGACTGTGACAACACCCCACGTCCCAGGGGGGGGGTAGATAGATCCTGAAGGGCCTGGAAGAGATAACCACATGGGCTCTCATGTGCTTCAAGCCAGCAAATTCAGTTCTCTGGTGTTGAAGTAAGGAAAGTTTACCAACCAGTTCCACTTCACACTTGGCACGACTCAGATACCATCAATCACAGAGAAACCAATGAAGAGCTTGGGAAAGGTGTTCGACTGCAGCCTGAATGACATGGCAGTCATCCGTGCAACCAACCTTGAACAGGAAGGCTAGCTAGCTGCAGTGGACAAGTCAGGACTACCTGGCAAGTTCAAGGCCTGGATTTACCAACATGGCGTCCCCCCACGGATTCTCTGGCCCCTCCTGATTTATGAGGTTCCAATCTCCACCATTGAGGGAGGAGAGTCAGCAGGTTTCTACGGAAGTGGCTTGGTCTACCTTGAAGCCTGAGCAGCATCGCCTTGTATGGCCAGAACAACAAGCTGAAAGGGTTAGTTCACCCAAAAAAAAAAATTATTCTGTCAGAATTTACTCACCCTCATTGACTTTAGTCAATGGGGAATGAGATCTGTTTGATTAAAACATTCAGAAACCAATCATCCAGCCTTGATTGAGTGGTCAGGACATTGTAGAGGCTTCCACTTGAGTCCAAAGCATGGCCATCTGCTCTGGATCAGATTTGAACAACACTACTCTTGCCGAATGGGGATACCTCTCTCAAGGTATAGGAGTCTCGATTTCAGCATTGTGATGGTTATCTTCCTGCAGTGGGTGAATGACTAATTCACTAACAATGTCTCAGCATGCTTACAACCCAGACACGTGAGACGTTGATCGTGACTGTAAGATGGGGCCAGGTAACAACCGCATCAAGAAACATGGGTGGAATGACATCTTGAAAAAGATGCAACATCACACCCATGTTTAATCTTTTAGACGAAAAAAACTCTTTCGGGCTGAACTGCACTGGGGAAAGTTTGCCTGCACAGCGTGTAGAAATGTTATTTTGGAGAATGCACAGTGTGCAAAATCCTTCGTTAGAAGGCAACCACCACTGACGCACCATGACACCAACAAATGCTGAAGCTTCTTCCTGGTTCCATTAAACCACTGGAAGAGATGACAGCAGAGCAGAAGTAAAGTCCTGCATACTTCCTTATATAACCGATCCACGTGGTGTGGTTTGCAATGCAAATCTTACTCGCCAAAGTTCATTTGCTTTCTTCTGTATCACTTGTAGGTGATTGGGCTCTCAGACAAGATCCCAATTCGTCAGTCACTGATGTAACGTAGAAAGTTACTGACTGATTGGGAACTATCTCAGTCGTAAATTGGATATTATGTACTGATTAGTTCATCTTGCTTACAAATTAGTTAATAGTAGTAGTTGAAGTGTTAATGTAGTACCACTCATTTTTTCCTGCATTACTTTCTCCTGCATAGTTACCTATTAATGCCAGACCATTATTCTGACGTGTTATGTTAATATCAAATATCAGAAAAATGATTCCATTAACATAGATAATGATATTATATTCTCAAAAGTAAATGGTTGGGAAAGGATTGGAGAACAACCAAATCTGAAACAATTCATTCATGTTTTTGTCAATGCTCCCTCTACAGGTGAACAGGGGAACATATTCACGCCGTAGTCGACTGAAGAGGTCTGATGGCAGCACCACCTCCACCAGTTTTATCCTGAGACAGGTAAAGAAATTGTCCATTTCTGCAAGTGATCAGGTAAAAAGTGATGCCTCCCCTTATTTGGCTCAATTAAATTATTACTTAGAAATTAGTCACTTTAAGCAGTGGAAATACTACTCAGACACATTTAATGTACCAAACCTTTACTGTCCTTATTCTTTGTTTTGTTCAGATAGGCTTAATGTGCTGTGATGCATGCCTGTTAAAACCTTTTTCTCATTTTTCTTTTTCTTCCAATTCCACTATAATTTTTGTCACAGATCATAATGCAAATTTGTATAAGTGATGTTCATAATTTATTTATTAAATTTCTATATAGTGTACATAAGTATTAAGTATATACAATTCATATTTACATCATCCCGACCTTATGTGAGATCACTCTAACGTCCACTTTAGAGTATGTAAAAGAGGTAAAAACGGTAAAACATTTGTTTTTATGTAATATATAAATAAGAGTGTGTGTGTGTGTGTGTGTGTGTGTGGCCATATTAAACAAGATAGATAGATAGATAGATAGATAGATAGATAGATAGATAGATAGATAGATAGATAGATAGATAGATAGATAGATAGATAGATAGATAGATGATAGATAGATAGATAGATAGATAGATAGATAGATAGATAGATAGATAGATTCAAAAGAAATGACAGAAGGAAAGAGAGAATGAGAGAGGCAGAGGGAGGCTCTCTCTCTTTCACTCTCTCTCATAAGCGTTCACAGTCAAGGAGAACACACGTCAGCAGCAGCTCTGACTAGAAGCCTGCTCGACCAATCAGCATGCAGCTGGTCAACTGTGTCATCAGCCTGAGATTGAGGAAGGGTTCTCTCTCTCTCTTTCTGCCTTACCCTCTCTCTCTCTCTCTCTGATGCGGGGAGCAGCGCCGTGCCGTGTGTGTGTGTGAGCGTGTTGCTGAGAGATGATGAAACGTCCGCGTCAGTGAGCCGTTGGGAAGCTTCTCCCTGCCTGAGGATGTGAGAGAATTGGAGGCTGAACGAGGGATCCACTCCATCCTGCAGGCCGAGCCGTCTGCACAGGCCTGCTTTCCCTCTTTCTCTCTCTCTCCATCCTTTCTCGTGAGGCATCTCTCACCCTTTTTTTTCCCTCCTTGTTCTTCCTCTGTGGAGCAAGGGGATCGTCATCCCCCCATCGATTCTTTTTTTTTTTTGTGGTGGTGGCTCCCTCCTCCTCCTCTTCCTCCTCCTCCTCCTCCTCCCCCTCTCTCTCCATCTCCACCACCACCTCCTCCTCTTTTTTTCTCTATTCTTCAAGAAGACCTTTTTGGAATAGCAAACCTCCATGTATGACAATTTGTACCTGCATGGATTTGAAGACTCGGAGGCGGTGAGTTATTTTTCTCTTGATCGGAATTGGCTACGGCTATATATAGTGTTTTCCCACTGGCTATATGTGTGCGTGCGTGAGCGCGCTCTTGTGCGTGTGCCGAACACTGGCTCAGCTGTGTTGCACATACAGGGCCTGCGAGACTCAGTGTACCATGATTTTCTAAGATGCAGCCCAACAATTTCCGTGGGTGTACTATTGGGAGATGCTCATCAGAGGCTTGTGTATGTGTCTTTCTGTATGTGAAAGACACATACACACAATACCAATTCCCATTGAACATTAACTCCTATTCCATACAGTGTGTTTAAAGAATGCTACAGTAAAAAAAAAAAAAAAAAAACACGTCTCTCATTCATTTTTCTTTTTTTTTTTTCAGTTATGTGGCTTTCTTTGTAGGACCTACCTGATCTCCTTATGGTTGAAAATGTTTAAGCTGTTGTCATATAGGTAAAATTGTAAAGCTTCATTTACTGTCTGGCTGTTAAAGGGGCAGAGCCTTTTCTTGCTGATGTGTAGAATGTAATGAGTCACATGGCTTAGGCGCCCCACTTGAATGCCTTAAAATTAAATCGAGCCAGAAGTCTGGAAAAGCCATCAGGAATTGTGTGTGTATATGTGTTGGAGGCCCATAGAACCCACTTTAATTCCCGTCAGCTGTGTTTATATTTCAGTGTCCTATATGTATATAGACCATCCATTTAAGAGACAGACTATAATCCATAATCAGGTTCCTTTGCTTTTTTGAATAAACATGGTATATGATGTTGTGTAACTTTTTTTAACTAGGGCACATAAAAACATTTAAAATTTCAGTTACACTTCAGATTAGTGTCTATTTCTCATTATTTACTGCAACTTTTGCGTCAATAAACTCCTAATTATTGCTTATTATTAATAGTTAGTTAGGTAGTTGTAAAGTTTAGGTATTGGGTAGGATCAAGAGATGCAGAATATGGTCATTATGTGCTTAATAAGTAATAAACAGCCAATATCCTATTAAAATTCATGCAATTAGTTAATAGTGAGAATTGGACACTTAACACACCAAGACTGATAACTATAAAGATTCTGAGCATGTGCTGTCTGTCACTTTAAATGCTCAGGCTTGTTACAACAGGGTGTCTATGTTTTTATGGTTCATCAGCTGGATAAAATAGTTCTAAAAGTGCTGTTATCGTTATAGTTGTGTTGTGGTATTCTTTAATATTGAGAAGGATTTTAAGAACTATATCTTTACCGTTATGCTTATAGTTATTGTCATAGGTGTAAATGGGTCTTTAGTGTTATCAACATTTCAAACAGCAAGCATAATGTTTAATAAATGTGTATGTAGAAGTTGTGTAAACACATAGTCTGTGTTTATGTGACTGATTTTCTACATGCTTCCAAATTGTTGTCTGGGAGAATATATATTTGTTTACTAGTAAAATGCAGACCCATTTGAACCACATTCGCTGTGCGTTGTATTGCAAACCCAGTTGAATTGTGGGTATAAAGTTTAAAAAAAAAAGCTTAGTTTAGTTGAAGAGAAACGTGTCTGTTTTAACTTCATTTTGGGCCATTGTTTCTCTTCATGATGTTGCACATGAATCTATACAGGCCCTCCAAAGTCACTCTTCAGCAAAAAGACTGTTATCTCGTCAAAATCGAGGATGAAAGCCATTCATTTGAATTTTCGTTTTTTACTCACAATCATCACTTCTGCGGCTGAAGATAAGCAAACTTGTGCATTTTTTTGTTTCCCGAATCAGGCGTTTTGTGATTGGACTCACCGGCCTCAATTGGGTCCCTGCTGAAGTAAGCTTGTGTCGAGCGGCTGCCTTCAGGGAAAAAGTGTTTTGCCATAGGCAGCGCGCTGAAATTTTTTAGCCGACTGTGAGGCTTTTTCGCTCTCTCTCTCAGCCTCTCTCTAATGCGATATTGACCCGATCATTCTTTTCACTGACTTGAGCTAATGTTGTTTCCAAATTGGATTAACAGAATACAGCTTCCATAGCTTCGCTTCACTTTGAGCAGTATCTCTCATTAATTAGAGGACCATGTACTTGCTGGTTGGATCTTCTTTATTATCTTAAAGGGGGAAAGTGTGAATGCCTACGGTATATGTTTTTATTCGGCCGATAGGGATCAGGTGCCTCTCTCTTGAATGTCATGGAGCCGTCTGAGGACTTTATGGAGATTTCAGGTGAAAATGTTCAGATTATGTATTGTGATGTTTTTCATGGTCCTGAGAAGCCAGCAGTGAAGGTATGTAATGTATTCTCAAAGGAAACTATCTTATGTTTTCGCATAGGAATGCTGAGAGGATATCCTAGGGTTGAGTTTTTGCTTTGGAGTAGTATTTGTACTATTGAAAACGTTTTACTATTTAGAGTAGTTGGTTGTAAAAGAAACGGAAGTAATAAGGAACTTTCTCACAACTGATCGGATGAGGAGACACGTTGAAATGAATGTACCGCATTAAACGGTTTTGGAAGCTCATATATTTATAGTTTTTAGTTTGAAAATAATGGGTTTCTATCCTGTTGATAAAGATATGACAAGCCTGTTACTCTATTTTAGGATTCAAAATGTCTATATTTGTCTCAGACAATGACAGATGCCTCAAGGTGGGAATTACAGTCCAAATCATTTGAATGCATTGAACACTCTTTTAAACTGTAAACGTTTCGATTTATACAAAAATATGTGATGACTGATGTTCATCCTTAAAGGGATACTCCACTTTTTTTTGGAAATAGGCTCATTTTACCACTCCCCCAGAGTTAAACGGTTGAGTTTTACCGTTTTCAAATCCATTAAGCCGATTTTATGATATTTAGAAGAATCAAAAATATCAAAATATCGGCTGAATACTTTAGAAAACGGTAAAACCCAACAGTTTAACTCTGGGGGAGTGGTAAAATGAGCCTATTTCCAAAAAAAGTGGAGTATCCCTTTAAAATGGTGGATGACATTTTACATAACAGTATCCATGTTACACATTGCAAATTTGTGTAATTAATTGCTATACCAATAACAAAAGAAATTGCATGTGAAATAAATGTGTATAATTACCTGGTCTATAAGTAAATCTATCTGTTATTTTTAAAGACTAATGTAGACTGGGAACAAAATGGCTTTACCTGAATTTACCTTCAGCTCACAGGTGTATTTTCTGTTTGCTTAAGGAGCGTGTATCTCTATGGGTGACAGCTCGATCTAGTTAATAGAGGTACAGGTGGTTTTTTTGCTGACCTGTGTTTGCTGCGGTCTGAATAGGCAAACATGAGAACCACAGACGTAATGAAAATCCTGCTGACCAGACTAATGTGCATAATGACCAAGGAAGAGAGTTTAAGGCACTGTATTAAAAAAAGAATCTCTGAAATTTACGTTAAAAAAACAGCAGCTGTGATGGCAGCAACTTTACTGTAAAAATGCAGTAGCAACATTTTAAGTTTTTCATTAACATATAAATATAAATTTATATATATATATATATATATATATATATATATACTAAATCAATGTACTAAAATCTGTTTTTTAGTACATTAGATTTTACTGTGGTTTTTTTTTAATTTCTGCATAGTGCCAGACACTTTAAAAACAGGTGGTAAAGATATAGAAGGTACAGAGTACCGTACACACAAACACAAAACACAACCATATAGACCAAATAAACTTAATATTAACAGGTTTTACTGTAGCATTTTTACAGTCTTTAACCATTGAAATTGCAGTCATGTTTTACAGTCTGACTCTGAATGGTCTGATCTTGTTTTTTGATGCACAAATGTGGTCAAATGTCAAAATGCATTTCTACAATGGGAAAGGTGGTTTCAGGTAGATCTCTTTTTTTTTTTTAAGTCATTCTCCATTTTGAAAAGTGGTCTTTTTTCCCACTTTTTGCACAGCCATCCAATTCAAGGTTATTCAAGGTTTCTTAAACCCAAAACAAACATTATTCAGTTTTATATGGCAATTATCCCATCCAACATTTTCCTTTTTTTTTTTTTTTTTTTTTTTACATTTGGCAGACGCCAAAGCAACTTGCATTACATTCAAGGTACACGTGTGATTTCCCTGGGAGTCAAACCCATGACCTTGGCATTGCTACTGCCATGTTCTGCTGAACGAGCTACAGTTTTTGATACCTTTAAGACTTCTTTATGTAAATGTCCTTGATTTTGATTGGTTCCTCATATTTCAGACTGTTTTCCATCAGGGCACACCAAATCAGGCACGTGCAGAGGGGGGGGCGTTGGGTGCTCGAGCACCTGCCCTTTTGCCCCTTGGTGCCCAAAGTGCCCTTTTGTCAAGACAAAATTTCATCTCCTTTTTTTGTATTTAAAGGCACTTTTGTGGATGCCTGCCCCATCTAACTACTAGTAAAATGAATGAATAATAATTTAGCCGTAAATAAAATGACCCACATGATGACCTTTCACCTGATTCCTCACGCTGCACGCGCATTTTATAATTTCGCGCGGCTACGCGCAATCGCGCATTCCCAGAGGATATCTTCAAGTCTTGCGGCTGCTGGTAAGTGGTGTTCTATTCTCAGCGAAGTGATTTTGATGTTTGTTTACTTATTATTATTATTATTTTACTAGAACGACGTGAAGAGAGCATGCAGAGAGATGTTGTTTGTATTGCTGTGTGTGTAGAAGTAACGTTAGCTTGCTGTTTGAGGGAGAAATGTTTCACGGGCGTGGAGGGGTGTTATTTGACTAAAAACTATTATTTGTACTTTAAACTATTATTATTATTACAGTATTTATTAAAAAAATATTTTCACATAAAAATGATTATCACAATTCTGGTAAGTTATCACATAGGCTTACCAGTATCTTATGTTTTGTGTGCAGAAGCCGTGAACATCTGCCCTATACGTTACTATTATATACTATTATTGTATTATTCAGGGATGTGATTTTTCCGGATTAATCCGGAATTCCGGATTTTCCGACCTGAAAATGTAACCTACGTGAATCATGCAGATCTGTAAAAAAAAAAAAAAAAAAAAGAGGGGGGCGGGTGTCGGCAGCCGGAGTGAAAAGGAGAGAATATGAGGTCATAACCCATAACTGGCTGACGTGCGTAAAGAAAGTTCCTTTCAAAGTATCAACAAGGACGTATTTGCGTTCAGCCAGAGAATGTCTGATTGGTTCAGCTTGTTCACCTGCTCAATGTCGTATCTCAGTCGCTCTCGCGCTGGTAGCGTTGTCAGTTGACAAGAACATCATCACAGTTAGGTCACCAGGGCTGGGCGATATATCAATATATTTCAAATTTGCGCTATGATCCTTGCTCCAAGCAAGCTGCAGACTGCTTTTGTATGAATATGTATATCGTGCATTCTGTCAGTTGCAGTCCTGACAGCTCCGTCTCAACAGCATTAGTGTACAACGCGACAAATACTCGCAATATTAACGCAGAGGAACGGCTATCTGTTCAGCGAGTTCACAAAAGTTAATTTGCATGTTGCTGGTTGCTGGACTAAGTTATCTTTCGAGTATTATTTCGCTAATACTCTCAAATACACACAAGGTTTACATAAGAACATTTGGTTATGTCTAAACTCAATGCAAACTGAGAAAATTGAGAGAAATCTGCTTGTCAAATGCTCCGTGTATATTAGACGTGTCGCGTACAGGTCTTAAAGTGACAGTAGCCCTAATAATAAAAATGCAGCCGCTTGTTCTTAAAGGGATAGTTGACCCCAAAATAAAAATTCTGTCATTATTTATTCACTGTAATGTTGTTCCAAACCTGTATTAATTTATTTCTTGTGCTGAACAAAAAAGAAGATATTTTGAAGAATGTGGGTAACCAGACAGTTGCTGGTCCCCATTGACTTCCATAGGGAAAAATTTACTATGGAAATCACTGGGGTACATCAACTGTTTGTTTACCCACATTCTTCCAAATAACTTAAACAGAAGAAAGAAACTTATTCAGGTTTAAAACAACTTGAGAGAGTAAATGATGACAATTAAAATTTTTGGGAGAACTATCTATTTAATGTTAATTAAACAACAAAACACAGAGGAAATCACTCACTGCTCTTGACTGAGAACTTTAATAGTAGCTTTGATAATAATCAATGTATAATTTATACAGTGAAGACTATATTTGACTTTGATTGAACATTTGCTCTCACTTTGCGGAAAAAATATTGGGATATATATCGATCCGGGGGGGGGGGGGGGGGGGGTTTGTTGTGGGGCTCGTATATTTTCCTGCTTTTTTGTCCTTAGCCAATCACATGCCTGATTATTATACTATAGCAGCCTGGGCAGAATCTGTAGCTTTAGCAGGTCAGTGGACTAGTGAGCCAGTTCCAAACACTGTCAGCAATCTTTACATCTTGTCATGGTCACATAAAAATGGTTTAATCAGCCAATACCCTATATCTCTGTTTATTTTAATGTCTACAGTCTCAGATCAACTCCAACAGTATCATCATCAGCAGCAGCAGCAGTAACAACATCAACAGCAAAGGCAGCAAACTCACTTAATGACTTGAGTAAGAATTTACCAGAACAGGCATCACATTAATGTTAAAAATCTTGTAAAGTATTAATTGCTGTTTCTGTTTGCTTTGTTTTTATTTTCATTGTATAAAATGTAACTCTTGTATTTTTGTAAATCAGTTTTTGCCATGAAAATAGCCACAGATGCTGATATGCCATTAAATAAAACTATACTCTACTGCACGAAACATGGGCCAGGTTGATTTTGTCCTATACAGTTCACTATAACAGCTGTTCTTAATTATTCTGTATAACTGAGAAGAAAAAGCCATCAGGTTGGGACAACTTAAGATGCTTCAGTTTCTAATCCCAGAGTTAGGCCTATATATAGAGCACATCAATTATTTTTTTTAATTTTAAACTTTAAATTTGTCTTTTCTGTTCTGGTTCTTTTTCAAAACTCCATCAATGCATCTGCTGCTGTATCGATGCAGAATCATCTGTATTGATATATTACTGTATTGATATTTTGAGCACAGCCCTATAAAGCCAATTGTTTCCATGTGCCCCATTTTATACTTTGAGCACCTGCCCCTACAGAGGTCTCTGCACGGCCCTGCACCAAATATCTGAATGCTGAATGGATATCAACATGGAAGAGCTAATGTTATTGAGCTGATTTCAGAACAACCCATTTTTGATATTTTCATAAGTGATCTAGGTGGACTAAGCGAGGAAAAAGTCATTTTAAAAACTTTTCCTGTGAAAAGCCATTACTAGACTGCATGCGTGTAAGTAATTTAGTATGTGCCTTCTGTTGGCAGGGTTCAGCTGATTCCTACACTAGCAGGCCGTCTGATTCAGATGTGTCGTTGGAGGAGGAGAGGCCGGAGGGGGGTAGTCAGGGCCGCCAGGAGCGAGAACAGCAGGCTGCACAGCAGTTGGAGAGGGCGAAGGTCGGGACAGACACATCACACTTACTACATATTATTATGCGGAGTTTATAATATGTCACACATACTTTATATTGGGTAATGCTTTACTTGAAGGGGTGTGCATAAGACTGACATTACACCTTCATAACCACGACATGACATATGTCTTGAATATGAGGGGTTTATGCATGTTTATGACAACTGTCGCTCAATATTGACATTTTGAATGCAAATATGACATTGTTTAAGATGTCTTTGTTATGACACCTTGACATAAACCATAACAGCATAACCTGTCAGTGCCTTTGTCATGACAATTTGACATAAAATTAAATTAAACTGTCATGTGGTTGGCTTTGACATTGGCTGTCATGAGGCCATTATAACTGTGTCATGAATATTTTTCGTAACCTCAACTACAGTGGTACTAATTGAATTTGTCATTAAAAAGTTATAATGGCTTCATGACAGCCAATGTCAAAACCAACCACCTGATAGTTTAATGTAATGCTAACCAATAAAGCTAGGTGGTTTCTTAAGTTTGATAATTAATCTGTTATGTCATGTTCATGACAGAATGTGATGTCTTAGTAATGTCAAGTTGTCATGACAAAGACACTGACAGGTTATGATCTATTGGTTTATGTCAAGGTGTTATAAACAATGTCATATTTCCATTAAAAATGTCATAACTGAGCGAATGACACTTAATGAGAGTTGTCACAAACATGCATAAAACATTCTTAATATTCATAATGTCATGTCATGATTATGAAGGTGTCATGTTAGTCTTATGCACACCCCTTCAAGTAAAGTGTTACCTTATGTTGTAATGCATTACCCCCAACATAGTGTGTGTGTGTGTGTGTGTGTGTGTGTGTGTGTGTGTGTGTGTGTGTGTGTGTGTGTGTGTGTGTGTGTGTGTGTGTGTGTGTGTGTGTGTGTGTGTGTGTGTGTGTGTGTGTAGGCTACCTACTTAACTATATATTGGGGACAAATTTGTACCCAAAAGTGACCAAAACCTGGCAAAATATCCTAAAACCTCCCTTTAGGGACGTCCTCATTTGTAAATCTGGTACAAAAATTAACTAATTAAAGGTTGTTGTTTTTTAAAATGCATAAAGTTTTGTTTGATGAGTTGTGTTTAGGGGTAGGGTTAGTGTAAGGGGATAGAATTTACAGTTTGGACAGTATAAAACCATTACGTCTATGGAATGTCCCCATTTAGATGTAAACGTGTGTGTGTGTGTTCTTTATTTTAGTATATATTTATTTTGTTTTTTATTCTAAAAAAAACATCGACCTCCAGGCCAAAGCGGTGGCCTTTGCCGTGAAGACAAATGTCAGTTACTGTGGTGCGCTGGATGAAGATGTGCCTGTGCCAGGAACTGCCATCTCATTCGATGCAAAAGACTTCCTGCACATCAAAGAGGTACTGTGGTATGATGGCCCATTAGTGAAAGGATCACTACTGACTCATTGATGACTTTGAATATAGACAAAAAAAAATCCAGTCAAAATTCATTACTAAAACTGGTATCATTGGTCAAACGCTAAGAGGGGATAAAGTTTTTCCAAGCTTTTATTCCTTTTGTCCTTACTCTGTTCCATATGCAGAAGTTTAATAATGACTGGTGGATTGGGAGGCTGGTGAAAGAAGGCTGTGAGATTGGTTTTATCCCCAGTCCCCTGAAGCTGGAGAATATCAGAGCACAGCTGGAACAGAAGAAAAGCCGCGTACAAGGGTAAGCAGACACAGAACATTCTTACCTAGTTGATGGAGCATTTGATTTTCCACAACCTAATCTGTCTGTTCTTATAATATTCTCTCTTTTTTGTGTAAATCAACCTGGATATGAAATCTTGGAGAATCTTCCAAAAATGTGCACCACTTCATATTTCGAGGCTGTAATTTGATCCATTATTAAAAACATGTTTTTGATGCCCTTTTGAATCTGTAGAAAACCAAATGCTCTATAGTTGCTATTCTGTAGATACTATAGATTGTTATAGAAAAAGAATACTGCATATTAGTCACTGCATGCCTTGATTTGATATCTTTATTTTGAACATGTAAATAAGAAAATCCAAATATTAATCAATGAAACAAGGAATAGTGATAAAAAAAAATGAACAATAAAGTAAAAATCCATACTTTCCAGTACTTCAATAAAACAAAACAAAAAAAACAACCCTCTATTTACATGTGCAAAAAAGGAGTAGGAAGAATAATGCCTTATTTTAGGACACAATAGACATTTTTAAATATATACTATATATCAATTAAATAAGTGTTGTGGGTTTCAAGAACAGAGGTGGCCTTTTATAGAAAATGTACTTTTGCTGCTGTAAATATGGAAGAATAGCATTGAAATTTAAAACCAGAAGGTATTGAGGATTTTCCTGAATTTGTACGCTTTATTTTTTTCACCATTTCAATGCAATGTAATCTGGACTGTTATCTTTGCCAAATACATCATGACTTGAATTTGACCCCAGATAATACATTTAATCACAGTTTACTGTTCTTTCATTGCATGTCTTCACTCCAGTAATGCAGTACCAGAGCCAGCCTTTTCAGTGTCAACATCGATATCTAGTCCACAGTGCAGTTTATTCTGGCCAAGAAGCACCCACTTAGAATGTCTGATTGAAAAAGCAGAGCATTCGATCATCATTTGTTTTTGTTTTTTTATTTTTGTCTTTGTTTTTGTGTTTGTTTGTTGAATTTGTTTGAATGTTTGATGTTTAAAACCTGGGGAAAATATTTAAAATGTTAAATCGGTGATACAATCAATGACATTCTTGCCAAGAACCACCCACTTAGACTGTCTGTTTGAAAAATAAGAGCATTCAATCATCATTTGTTTTTTGTTTTGTCTTGTTTTTTGTTTGATATTTGTTGATTTTGCTTTGTTTTGTTTGTTGAATGTGTTAAATATAAATCTATAATAGAAAAATTGAGGGTTTTACAAAATAGTAACCCTTTCAAATAATGGTACCACAGTCTGTGCAAGTTGTTGTAGAACTAGAGCTGAATAATATAGTAATAAATACAGATTTTATTTTCCCCCATGGACATAAATCTGAAAATAATCAGTATATACTATTGTGCACAAGGATATACTTTTATTAGTGTCTCACTTTAATGTATGAACCTCCTACACTTTGTTTATTGTGGCAGCCTGGTACTATATAAACTTTTTTTCCCAGGAAGACTGATAAAGTGGAAATTGCATTGAGGCTAATTAGATTTGAGCTTAGAATTTTGGAGAGCTCTTGCCATTTTTGTATAAAATATGCATCAGACCTGGTCCATGGGTGGAATGTCTGATGCTGAGACTGCCAGATGAGAGAACCAGAGACTTTACTTGAGACTTGAAATACAGTGGAATTGTGAGATTGTTTGACATTTGATTTGTTGAAAACTGGGTATCAGCTTAGGTGACACCAGCTCGCAGTTTGAAATCGGATGACTGACCCTCAAACCCAGGTGACTATCGATAACAATTCTACATGCAGCATCAGTTCTAGGTCACAATCAGTGTGGGTCTGACCAGGTCTTATGCATTAGCTATTAGAACTTAGAGATTATAGCATTTAGTATTAAGATTTAGAGTAGTCCGCTTGTGTGTTTGGACACGCAGACTAAAAACGTTCTATCTCTTTTTCTGTTTGTCTGCTCATTTCTTTAGTAAGTCCAGTGGAAGCTCGTCCTCCAGTTTGGGGGATGTGATGTCATCAGGTGAGCCAGTGATTTGGTGGGGGTGGGGCTTTAGGAGATGGGGGGGTGGGGTTTCAGGAATCTCCCCGAAAATAAAACGGAATCGTAGGCAATTCGTCAGTGGATGATTTTACTTCAACACTGTCCTGCGTAAGGCTAAAGATCAATCGAGCAGCTTCTTGTGAGCATGGGACAGTGGACCATGAATGACTTGAATGGCATTCTCAAATATGAAGAACTTGACAGTACTTTATTCTGACTTTCCTTTTTTTCCCTCTCTTTGTACAGGGAAGCAGAAACAGAAAGTGGTAAGTGTGTCCACAGGATGGAAGAATCCCAACCTATAACCTCCACTGATGAGACTGTCACCGCTGTCTTAAACACAAATTCCTCTCAAGTTAAACTAACGTATTGAGCTGATATTCTGTAAGCATTGTCCTTTACGCTGTGTTTTGTTATTTGCCTGTGATCTCATATGCAGACTGAACACGTGACTCCCTATGATGTTGTGCCTTCCATGAGGCCTGTGGTGCTGGTTGGTCCATCATTGAAAGGATATGAGGTGGGTTGTCTCAAATGATGTTGAGGTGTATCATCATCAAATGGAAAAATGCTTTTGTCACAGACCAATCTGGAGAGTTTTTACAAGGCGAATCAGCAAAGTCATCATAAAATAACATTGAGCAGAAAATTCCCCCGTCAAGGCCGTAGAGCTGACGTTCTTTGTTTATGACTTGCTGCACGTCTGTGTGTGCGCATGTTGCGTTATTGATACCAGCAAAATATAATATCTATTCCAGTCTCTCCATCTCCTCACACAGAGAAAACAAAAACATACTCCTCCTCTCCGCCGCTCCGTTACCACGGCAACAACCTTCCGGGGTCCAGGAGACGTCAGTGCTAGAAAGTAGAGCACGGTTTGAAATTAGAAAGAGACAGAAATGGTGATGGAGGGAGGAAATCTGTGAGGGAAAGAAAGTTGACAAAATGAATAAGGAAAACAAGCTCCTTTATAAGGCGTAAATAGATGCAGGTTTGCTTTATTGTAAGGATTTCATTTATTCACGCAGCTGCTTGGTGTTTAAATAAAATTAATTAAAATTAAAAATTAATTTAAATTAAAAAAAACAGTGATTTGTTTTAAGTAAGTTTATGCATTGATGAGGCAGGAGTTGTGTCGGTAACACTTTATAATAACTGCACGCTAATAATCATTAGTTAAGCATGAGTAAACATTTAATTCATCATTCATAAAGCATGAATAGACATTAATAAGCAGTTTATAAATACAGAGTCTTCTTGAATTAAAAGCATATCTATAATTTGTTAAATAATTGTATTTTCATCATTTATTAATGATCAATTTAACATTTCTAAATGAAGAATTGCATTTTTTATAAACCAGTTATTTAAGAGTTGTCAGTGGTACATAAGATTACTTAGAACTTGTAAGTAAATGATTAATAAACTATTTAAGAACAGCGATAACGTTCCAATGTGTAATATGAAAGCTCAAATAAAAACAACATAGGAACCGCAGTGATAAATCAACCCGGTCTCATCCCAAGACGTCATATAACTGACGTTTTGGGATGTCTTTTGACCATACGTCAATATTCGCCTTTTTAGGGCCCTTTTTAGGGTTATGGGATCCTAACTCTACCCCATACCTAAACCTAACCCTAAACCTAACCCATCACCTAACTGACGTTAAAGGTAAAGCGTCAGTTGTATGACGGCCCGGGATCGCCATCTACCGACGTTTAAGGGGGCCCTAAAAAGGCGGATATTGACGTATTGTCAAAATACGCCCCAAGACGTCAGTTATATGACGTCTTGGGATGAGACTGTGTTAGATAAATAGAACCGTTGGGTGAAGTGGTCATAGCCATGTTTTATCATGAATAAAGCACAGCTATTGACCAATCAGAATCAAGGATAGGAACTAACGGTTTTATAATATTATTTAAAAATGAAATTGTTAAATAAATATGTATTTATATTTTGGTTGTTTAAAAAATATCTTTTGTACAGGTCACTGATATGATGCAGAAAGCTCTTTTCGACTTCTTGAAACACCGGTTTGACGGCAGGTAAGTAACAAAAGTGGTTTATAGATGATTACACTGTCATTTCAAAATATCATCTTCCTGCACAACTCTTGTAAAAGATGGAGATTGTTACAAACAGGGTGTCTGATGTGTTATAATTACAGATTTGCACTGCAGCTAACTATAGATCATGTATTTATCATCCTAGGATAACTATCACACGTGTGACAGCAGACATCTCACTGGCAAAGAGATCAGTGCTTAACAATCCCAGCAAGAGAGCCATTATTGAGCGCTCAAATACCAGATCCAGTCTTGGTAAGATATAGAGAGAGCCTAAACATAACTGACAGGGTTGTTAAAGAAATATTCCAGGTTAAATTTAAAGTGCCCCGTTATACTTTTTCGGATTTTACCTTGCATGTGTAATGTGTCTGTTTATAAATATAAAAGTTCAGCAAATTTTCAAAGATCAAAGTGCATGATAAATGAAGTTATTGCCCAACACTGAACTGACTTCAGCTGAACAATGACCCTATTTTCTTTTTAGAGCTGCTTTACAGCCGAATTAAACTCTGTTTGCATCATTGAATCATTACTTTCCTGTTGATCGCTGTAAAGCTGCTTTTAAATGATCTGTATTGTAAAAAGCACTATAAAAATAAAGGTGACTTGACTTGACTGTGCATGTTCTCGCACGGAGAGAGGCTGAAGCTTCGCGGCTGAGACACGAATAGATGTTTTAAATGTCTGCGAGCGTCTTTGATACGTTGTTGGCTCTCAACAGATTGGCGAGTGTTCATCGCCCGCTAATCCCCCGCGGTGTGCACGCAATAACACCCTGACCTGTCGGCGAGCTCAACGATTTGCAAATCGGGCTTAAATCTGGCTTAAAATTATGTAGTGTGAACTAGGCTTTAGCTCACCATTTTTCGGTGAAATGCCATGTTTGTAGTCAACAGCGACTGGATTGCGAGGCCCCCTAGTGGTGCAAGGCCCTATGCAGTTGCACAGCTCACACAGCCCTTGCGACGAGTCTGGTCTTCATTGGCTGCCCTTGAACGTCTACTTTGACCCGCCCTCAAATACTGTAGTTCACTCTCAGAAAAAAAGGTACAAAAGCTGTCACTGGGGCTGTACCTTTTCAAAAGGTAAACCTTTGTCCATTTTAGGTGCTAATATGGACGTTTAGGTGTTAATATGTACATTTTAGGTGCTATTATGTATTTTAGGTGTCAATATGTACATTTAGGTGCTAATATGTGCATTTTAGGTGCTATTATGTATTTTAGGTGGTAATATTGACATTTAGGTGCTAATATGTGCATTTTAGGTGCTAATATGTACATTTTAGGTGCTAATATGTGTATTTTAGGTGCTAATATGTGCATTTTAGGTGCTAATATGTACATTTTAGGTGCTAATATGTGTATTTAGGTGCTAATATGTGCATTTTAGGTGCTAATATGTACATTTTAGTGCTAATATGTGTATTTTAGGTGCTAATATGTGCATTTTAGGAGCTAATATGTACATTTTAGGTGCTATTATGTACATTTTAGGTGCTAATATGTGCATTTTAGGTGCTAATATGTGCATTTTAGGAGCTAATATGTACATTTTAGGTGCTAATATGTGCATTTTAGTTGCTAATATGTACATTTTAGGTGCTATTATGTACATTTTAGGTGCTAATGTGTACATTTTAGGTGCTAATATGTACATTTTAGGTGCTATTATGTACATTTTAGGCGCTAATATGTACATTAAGGTACCAATATGCACCCTTTAGGTACAAAAGTCTACCTTTTGAAAAGGTACCGCCACAGTGACAGCTTTTGTACCTTTTTTTCTGAGAGTGTTGTAGCTGAGGCCTGGAAGATTTTGGTTGGTTTTTTTCTCGAAAAGACATGTTGAGAAGACGCAAGCCGACACCATTGTTAGTGTTCGTATCACAGTGTATAAGTGCCGAGGAAGCCTCCGGCGTTGAAATTCAGATATTCACTTCCAACATGTGCTGTAAGCAGTAGACCAATCACAACAGACTGGGCTATCAGACCAATGAACTGAATCCTTTATCGAACCGTTTCAGACACCGTAAGAAAAGTGGTAATACTGCAATGTATATAATGAGAAAATTAAAGTGTTTTTTTGCCATTTTATGCATGTAGACCTATAGAGCTGGTAAGTCCCGCCCATCCGTAAAACTTCAAGTGGACCTCTAGGTTGAAAAAGCATCAATGCAAGTGAATGAGAGAAAATAATTATTTTATGAATGTGACATATGTTGTCGGTGAATTTTTTATATAATTTCTCATGTAACGAGTTTGACAGTATATTGTATGATTCTTTGGCTAGCAGTTGTGGAATAGACATAACGAGAAAGACTACACGTCGCATATGTGACATCGCCGCATAACACATTTTCCCTCCACAACCACGCTCAACTACTTTGTCCTCGCCCTGAAAGAAGGTGGTGAAGTGCACCAAAGACAGAGGCATGTTTAGCGGGATCCGTGTGCTAGTGGGGGTGATGTATATCAAACACGTCGAAAGAGTAGTAGTCCACAAAGTGCTCTCACCCCAAAGTCTAACCGTATGAAAATTCTACTCGCTAAATTGTAGCATTCTTTACACGAAACATTATATAAAAAATTCACAGACAACATATGTTACATTCATTGCACAATTCAAACGGGATTAGAAAATAATTATTTTCTCTCATTCACTTGCATTGACGGTTTTTCAACCTAGAGGTCCAGCGGGGTTAGTGGAAGGGGCGGGACTTACCAGCTCTATTGTTGGAGACCTCCAAAATGAAATTAGGAACCAGAGTTGTAGTACTCGAGACTCGGACTCGGTCTCAAAACCATATTTTAATGGTCTTGGTCTTGTCATGGACTCGTGTCCATTTGGACTCGGAATTGACTCGTACTCGAACATTTTTTTTTTTAGGACTCGGAATTATTCCCGAGTCCACTCGAGTTCAATTAAAAATATTTTTCATGATTATTAATGTATGTTAATAAAATATTTCTTTAAATTGATTGAAACGCCCAGTGATTGGTGATTTTCTAGTGCGCAACTGCGCATCACAAATTGTAATAAAATTACTTTTAACACCACCTACTATGTGGCCTTTTTACCCTAAACTGATCATATTTTTTAAAGTCTAAGTAAATTCAGTAAAAAAAAAAAAAAAGGATTTCTCTAAGTAAATAAAAGTAAATTAGGTAATCAACCCTCACTGGTCTCGGTCTCGACTCGGACTCGACCGTCTCTGGTCTCGGACTCGACTCGGACTCGACTCTCTATGGATTCGGTCTTGACTCGGACTCGACTCTCTCTGGTCTCGGTGTCGACTCGGACTCGAGTGAGGTGGTCTCGACTACAACACTGTTAGGAACCTTTAAAATAGCATAATTGGGGCACTTTAATCTAACATACTGCAATCAAATGCAATAATCATATACACCACATTCTCAAATGTCAAAATTAATCACTTCCAAGTCCTGCTTTTTTTTCTATTTTTGTGCAAACTTTAAACTAATATCTAACTCTTTGTGTGATATGCATGTACAGCTGAGGTACAGAGCGAGATTGAGCGCATATTTGAACTAGCTCGCTCACTCCAGCTGGTTGTGCTGGATGCAGACACCATCAACCATCCTGCTCAGCTGTTGAAAACTTCACTAGCACCCATCATCGTCCATGTCAAAGTGTCCTCGCCAAAGGTGCGACATTCAGAGATGCTCTTGTGTCATGGTTTTAGTGTTTTACTAGAAAAAAGATCAAACTACAAAATCTGAACTTACTATTCTTGCTGTGTAACCAACTCTTCTGTTCTGTAGGTCCTCCAGCGGCTCATCAAGTCCAGAGGAAAGTCGCAGAGTAAACATCTCAATGTACAGCTCGTAGCAGCAGATAAACTAGCACAGTGTCCTCCGGTGCGTCTTTCTTTACGTACAAACCTAAACACACATATGGATGGAAAATACAGAAATGACTCCAGCTTTATGCATTTTTAACCTCAACCTCACCACTTTATTTTAAAAGTCTACTTTAGCTTTAACCCTCAGGTGCTCTTCGTTTCGGAGTCACACTTGTTATCTTCCCGGTCAAAAGTGACCGGATACCTAAAAATGAAACTTTCTCCATCCCAGTAAAACCAATGGAATTTATTTTTGTTCTATAATATTTATTCTTTTTAATTTAGTATTTTGAGACAATTTAATTGAATTTATTAATATTTATGCAATATTTATGGTTTATTTTTGCTTTATGGTTTTATTTTTGGTTTATTTTTGCTTTATGGATTTATGGTTTTTATATATTTCTATATATATATTATTTTTTTCAAAAAAATATTAATGCAGTATTTTAAGTTAATATAGAGTCTAGGCCTTCAGAAAAAAATTTTTTTGAAGAAAATTAGCACCATCTGGTTACAGTATAGAGAAAAAGCGTAGAATCATGGTGTAACCACTAGATGGCATGTACAGCTCTCTATGGAGAGACATGTGAATTCCCCAGCTGTTTATAAACACATTTTTTTTTTTGTTGTTGGTGGTGGATTTGAATATATAGTTGAAACCTCAAATCTCAAAAACCATTTCTTATTAAAAAAAAATTGACAAAAAACAAAAATTCACAATTGTTTACAATTTCCATTCATTTCCTATGGGGGTCATTTTTGACCAAAGACCACAAGTGTGACTATTTTTTTTAAGACCACTTAGCATGCTCAGATCATGACCTCAATTATTTTGTGTGTTCGCATACATAATGCCATAAAAGTCACGAAGTTTCATAACATTGCGATGAAGCTGTGATTTTTAAAAAATCAAAACATACTTTTTGTAATCAAAATTTATTGGTGTGCATGTGTATAAAAGTGTGTTTGTATGTCTATGTGTTTGTGGGTGTGTCTGTTTTGCACTCTAGATGTTGTAGAGTGTCACCCCTTTCCTGTGGTGTCCGATTTGTCGATTGTACATACAAAAATTCTCAAAGTTTTTGTGTTTTTGTCAATTTCCCATTCATTTCCTAAGGTCGGTCATTTTTGACCGAAGAGCTCAAGTGTAACTATTTTTTTTACGACCACTTAGCCTGCTCGGATCATGACCTCAATTTTTTTGTGTGTTCACATACCCAATGCCATAAAAGTCACCAAGTTTCGTAACATTCCGATGAAGCTGTGATTTTTACAATTTCAAAACAGAAAATTTTTCAGTCAGAAATGACCGAAGAGCACCTGAGGGTTAAATAACTATAGGTAACTTTGCAACTAAATGTCAACTAACTCTCATTAATTAGTAGACTGTTAGGTTAGGGTTAGTAGAATAAGTTGACATGTACTTTCAAAGTTACTTGTAATCATTAAAATGTCTGTTGGGGACCATTAAAATAAAGGGTAACACTTTAGAATACGGTTCCTTCGTTAATGAATAACTACACAAGAACTAATGAGTAACACAATATTAACAATCTAGTAACTATTATTAACTAACAAGAAACTCTGATTAACGAACTAGTAAGTAATAGCGCACAGACGAAAGTGGTAGTTCCCTATTAAGTAATCAATAACTACTATTTTTTTAATTCTTCCCAGAGAACTACTGAAAAAGTTTATTAACAATCTAGTAACTACTATTAACTAAAATAAACTCTTATTAACGAATTAGTAAGTAATAGTTCACAGATGAAAGTGTTACTTTCTGTGGGAATTACTAATTATTTGGATTCGTATTATAAAGTGAAGATCATTGGAACTAACTAGTAATTACTCAAGTGTTACTACATGATCTAGTCATGATTTGTGCAAATGTTTGAGATTTTTGGTGAACTTTAGTATACTTTTAGAAAATGTCTTTAGTAACACTTGAGTAATTACTAGTTAGTTCCCATGATCTTCACTTTATAATACGGATCCAAATAATTAGTAATTAATAGCTCATAGATGAAAGTGTTACTAGATACTTCTGTGGGAATTACTAATTATTTGGATCCGTATTATAAAGTGAAGATCATTGGAACTAACTAGTAATGACTCAAGTGTTACTACATGATCTAGTCATGATTTGTGCAAACGTTTGAGATTTTTTGGTGAACTTTAGTAACTTTTAGAAAATGTCTTTAGTAATACTTTAGTAATTACTAGTTAGTTCCAATGATCTTCACTTTATAATACGAATCCAAATAATTAGTAATTCCCACAGAAGTATCTAGTAACACTTTCATCTGTGAGCTATTACTTACTAATTCGTTAATAAGAGTTTATTTAAGTTAATAGTAGTTACTAGATTGTTAATAAACTTTTTCAGTAGTTCTCTGGGAAGTATTAAAAAAATAGTAGTTATTGATTACTTAATAGTGAACTACCACTTTCGTCTGTGCGCTATTACTTACTAGTTCGTTAATCAGAGTTTCTTGTTAGTTAATAATAGTTACTAGATTGTTAATATTGTGTTACTCACTAGTTCTTGTGTAGTTATTCATTAACGAAGGAACCGTATTCTAAAGTGTTACCAAATAAAGTGCTCCAGACAGTCTACTAATACTACTAATAGTTTATTTAGTAAAATGTCTAAAGTGGACTATCGAAATAAAGTCTTGCCCATCACTCTAATACTTTGTCAATATTTTTGAATGCGTTTCCTTTTTAACAGGAGATGTTTGACATCATCTTGGACGAGAATCAGTTGGAAGACGCATGCGAGCACCTGGCGGAGTATCTTGAGGCGTACTGGAAGGCCACCCACACCTCCAGTAGTACCCCACTCAACCCTCTGCTGGGCAGGAACCTCGGCCCTGCTGCCCTGGCCCCTTACACTACGTCTGCCATATCCGGCCTGCAGGTGCGCAGTCACACACGCACATCACACAAAGATGGCTACTTAAAAGGTTAGTTCACCCAAAAATGAAAATGCTGTCTGTAATAATTAGTCAACCTCATGTTATTTCAATCCCGTAAGACTTCCGTTCAACTTCGGAACAAAAACTACGAAATTTTTGATGAAATCTGAGAGCCGGCTCACTCCTTCATAGGCTGCTAGGTAATTGCAAAGTTGGTAAAAACATCGTTAAAATAGTCCAAGTGACTACAGCGGCTCAACCTTAAGTTTAATAAGCGACGAGAATAGTTTTTGTGCGCAAAAAAACCCCAAAAATAACGACTTTATTCAACTATTCGTTTTCCTCCATGAGAGCCTCTGACGTGAGTTCACGAGAGCACCATGACGCATGCACGAGAACTGAGATGACGATGCTCACGATCATTTGATGGGGAAAGTGTGAAAGGAAAGCCTTTCATTTTGAGGCATTGGTAAGGCACTATTACGTTTTCTCGTTGGTTTCTTACGAACGATTCAAACATCCAGGAAATGCACACTTAAGAACCGTTTTAAACACTACATCGAGACCCATCTCCGTCATCTTCTCAAATCTCTGGCATGCCTCGTGGTGCTCTCGTGAACTCACATCAGAGGCCCACATGGAGGAAAATGAATAGTTGAATAAAGTCGTTATTTTGGTGGTTTTTGCGCACAAAAAGTATTCTCGTCATTTGATAAACTACAATTGTAGTCAATTAGACTATTTTAACAATGTTTTTACTAACTTTTATGGTCCGACACAATGAAATATGAAGGAGTGTGCCGGCTCTCAGATTTCATCAAAAAATATCTAAATTTGTGAAGATGAACGAAAGTCTTGCGGGGTTGGAAGAACATGAGGTTGATTAATTACTGACAAAATTTTGGGGTGAACTATCCCTTTAACACATAGGGCCAGATTTACTAAACGGGGCAAATTACGATGAGAGTGCTCTTCCTAAAAAAGCGCAGATGGGAGTGGAAAGTACTACGTGTGATCTACTGACGAAGTGCAAATTAAAGAACATAGATGCAGCTGGGTTATTTTCATAATGACAAACGGAATATACCAATTAGCATCTGGTTTAAGACGTGCTTTTTTGGGTGGTAAATAATGACACTAATACCAGGAAATTGACTAGCACAAATTTATTTTTAAAACCATCATATTTAAAAATATGATATTAATCATATCGTATAATAAAATAGTATATTACATTTATATTAAATCCTGCTTTCAGAATCTTTTTGAAATAATTTTGCTTCTGTATTTTTAATATATATATTTTATATAACATATTTTAATGACAGTATATTTAAAATTAATTGCTTTTTCAAAATAAACAGAAAATAGTACAAACTTTGCTAAAGCAGACATTATTAAAAACATACTATTTTACCTAATGTATTTCTATAAATAATGTGTGCCTTTTGCCCCATGCTGGTGAGCCTTTCATTTACTCATCCTCAAGTTGTTCCAAACCTGCTTTCTTCTGCTGAATACAAAACAAGCTAATTTGAAGAATGTTGGTAACCAAATGTCTGATTTTTTTTATCCATACCAAGGAAGTCAATGATGTCCATCAACTGTTTGGTTACTGACATTCTTCAAATGATCTTCTTTTGTGTTCAGCAGAAGAAAAAAAAATGATCTTTGTGTTGTGAGCATAAAATAGCATTTTTTGTAGGGTACAAATGGGCTAAAGGCACACCTCAAGAAAAATGAGCTTTTCACTCCTCCATTTTCATTTTTGGGTGAACTATCCCTTTTAGTATGGGTGCTGGTTCTTAATTTATTTGGTACTTGTACATCAGAATCAACAGGGACAAAAAACACGGCACGCCAACCACACCGGGGACAACTCCACCCCCAACGAACGGCGCAACCTGATGACCTCAGATGAGAACTACCACAACGAGCGAGCGCACAAGGGGCGGAACCGGGGCTCCTCTGGCTCTCAGCACGGCGGCAGCGGTCGAGACCACCACTACATGGAAGAGCAGCAGGGCTACCAGGACCCCTACCAGGACACCTACAAGCCCCACCGCAACCGCAGTTCCCCAGGCAGCTACAGCCAGGACTCACGACACCGGCTCTGAGCCACCCCGCCCCGTTTCGTCCTCCAAGCCTGAGCCACAGAGCCACCGAGCCAAGATGGCTTCTGTCCACAATTGTATACATCTTCCATTATGTTTTCCTTTTGTTAGGGTCTCTTGAGCTACAAAGAAGAAACTGTTTAGCCCCTCCTGAACCTTCGCCATCTGACCAAAGCCTGCATTCCCACCTGCTTATTCGAGGCTCGATGCGTCTGCCTGGGGAAAGAGGACCTTTTAACATGCAATTGGAGACAGTTGTTATGCTTTCCCATGTTAATATGCTTGTTGACTTTTTTTTTTTTTTTTTTTGTCTATTCTGTTGCAAAAAGGCAGGTTTTCCTTCTTCCAAGCAACCTTTTAACTTCAAAATGGAATTGAATGATTGGTTGGCCCTTAAAAGCAAATATTCTGTGAAGCTAGCAATAGCAGAGAATCGGATGGTTTCAAAGGGTGTACGCAGGATCCCTGAAAACCGAATAAGGAGCTCAGTTAGTCTTTATGTCATTATTGCCAGCATGTTACCTGACCGCATGCTTCCCTTGTCATTAGTGCATAACTTGAGCGGACAGACCAATAAGCAGGACCCCGAGAAACTGGCTGCCAAACTGGAACATTTCAGTAATAATGTAACACAAACCTACTGCCAGCTGTCTTTTGTTACAGAAAATGGAATCCTAAATACAACGATCGTTGGAGTTTTCCAAAGCCTCGAAATCTTAGGCGGAGGAATTTCCACATAACTTCTGCCGTAAACAGCCAACAACCACAGACAGCCACAGTCATCTGTGCAGTTTAGCATGACGCACTGCATCCAGTGCCATGGACTCGTTTCGTGCCAGGCATTCATTTCCAGTTAGAAAAGACAGCTTAAAGGGATGCATAACATAGGAATGCTGAAGAACAAAAAAATGTCGCTGTGATCTAGTCCTCAGTAGAGTTAGCAAGACTTTTTTATGATTCATTTTCATAATTTAATGGCAGAAATAATGGCACTTTGGTACATTGTAATTTAAGTAGATCCATCTTTTCTCTAAAAAAAATTATTTTCTCTAAAAGATTCTTCAGGAGTGACTGGCACCCTGTTCTCCACCCTGCCAACTGCAGCAGCTGCCGTCCAGATCTCAAATACTTACAAACTAAACCCGTAAAGTGTCGTTTTTCTGATCGTACGTTTTTCAGGGTGAAAGGGACTGGCCAAGGACAAGTAGATCCTCATATGGAAGCAGTTCACATCTGGACCTAAAACTTACAGACACAAGGCCTTGGCAAACCATGGCTTTTATTTTCTCGCCTTATTAATTTATGCTAGTTTTTGCATTTTCAAAAGAATACATTTTAAAGAAAAAAATAAATTCTGAAAAACGAAGGGCCGCAACAAGTACATTCTGTATGCATTTGTCTATGAGCATGCTTCTCTGTTAATTATATAATGAGGATGAATGAACATGAGGAATTTGGCAGTCGATGCCAAAAGCGGACGAAACAAAAAATCTGAAACCTCTGAATTTGCTGCCTGAGACAATCAGATGGAACTTCTCTGTAAAACCGGAACGTTGTTCATCCCTTCCCATCATCCTGCTCTCTCCCGTTTCACAGCAGCTTCATCTGAGCTCCAGATAAAAGAATAAAAATGTGTACATTTTTCCTTTTTTTTTTGTGAAAGTTGAAAATTGAAGATGGAAATGCAAAATTGCATGCATATCATTTTAATTTATTACAAATTTGAAAGAAAAAAATGTTTTATGGAATATAATTGTGTAAAAGGCAAATCTAGCAGTATTTAAGTTCTTTTACAAAAAAGAAAAGAAGAAAAAATAAATGGTCATTTTGAAACTGTCATTTTTAATTATTCATTTTTGATTTTTTTGGATCTGATGAGTGACTAGCAGGTGCATTTTGAAAAGCTTATATTAAAATACTTTCTATATGGTTTAAAACGTGTCAATACTGCATTGTACCATCTCAAGGTTTTACACTAAGCTATATGACAGTTTAGAGGGCTCAAACTCATAATACGGTGATGTTTTTTTCTAAATTGTCTATATTTTTGTTAACTGTACAAAATCATTGTAACGGGATTGAAATGACAGCTTGCACCTTACAAAAAGACAAATTCATAGAAATGGATATTCCCTTGGCATCAAAGAATTCATCTCTTTTCAGGAAGCCACGTTATTATTTGCATTATCCCCCCTCTTTAATAATCCAAAGCTAATAATGCTTAGCTTTAGCTGTCCTGCCTCTAGATGGATTTTGTTTTTTGTTTTGTTTTTTTGTATGGACTCCGAATTTAATTAATTAGTTAATTAATTTAGGCTATCCTAATTTTAAAAACCTTTTTATAGAAATTCATATGTTTTAATGTTTTCAAAAATAAATAGAAATTTTAGGGACGGAGAAGCTAATGCTAAAACTATCCAGGCAAGAATCCCATTTGTATACGTAAATGCCACATTTTGACCGCTCCAGACACGTCGCTGCATGCGCCATCTTGGAAACGTCAACGTTTCAGTTGCTGTCCTCACTCACAGTAAAAATCGATGAGTTTTTTTTATAGCTTAAATAACACCTCAACATTTAACCGCTTCTGGTTGTAAAAACCGCCAACATTTACATTCCTGAAGAAATTGGACAACCATTCACAGGTGAGAATGTGTTGGTTTCTGTTTTTATAGCTACATTAACTCAATATAGGCTTTTAAATTGTCAAGTCATCTTCATTTATATAGCGCTTTTAACAATGTGGATTGTTCCAAAGCTGTTTTACAGTGATAATAGGAAATTAAAGTAATTATGGTAACTTTTTAACGTCGAGTTAGCTAACGTTGTCGTCTTGTATTGTGTTAGTTTAGTAAAATAAAAGCATCCGCCGAAGTCAGGTTGCTGACTCACAACTTGCTCTCGAGGGTTCACGGACCGGATTGACCGTTCCAATATGGTGAAAGCCTTTAGCATTGGGTTAACGAGCTGCTAGTAATGAGGAATCTACAGAGAGAATGTCCAGTGGGCAGAGCTGTAAACTACACACAAGATGGCGACATTGAGTAAGAATTAAACTATTTGAATACTTACAAAACCTCCATGCCTGACGACTTTATTATTAATCTAAAATGTTGGAAAATATTAGAAACAAAAAAAAAAATGTGTCCAACCTTTGGATTGGAAGTTTATAGAAACAGTGGCTTTCTGACAAGCAAATCATGCACACTTCTCACAAAAATCCATTCTTGTTTTGAACAGTAGGCAGCAGTGTTGTCTTGAATGTCACTGATGTAGGCTACCTCTCCCCTATTAGCAACCTTTTCTCCTCCCTCTCAACCTATTTCCCTCCCCTTCCTCTAAAATCTAGATTAAAGGCACTTTGTAGTTGAAGCATGCTTTAAAGAGACTGTCGGACAGAATGTTCCCTGTGGATCACACAGAACTCAGAAATCATGTGGTTAACAAAAAAAAAACAAAAAAAAACATATAGGCTATATAGGCTATTGTATTACTTCAATATTAATGACATTGGTGGTTCATCCCAGCCTGTTGTTTATCAGTCCGAGAGAAAAAATCGTACTCTTTGGGAATGCTGAAAGCACAGGATATCCCGTTGAAGAGGTTTTCTGGCTAGTAAGCGAATTATAGTTCTCTGACCCCAATTTTTTTTAATAGGGTTGGTCATGTGAGGAAAATAACAAAAGCACTTTGTAGACAATCTGCTGTTTAATGCACAACACTTTGAAATAAGTGCTTTGGGCTTTGCTGATGACATCAAAATCTAATTTTTAAGGAAAGTGCTCTTTGTGGTCGCCAAGCAACGCTTGATTTTCTCTCTTCAATGAATGAAATGGTGAGTGCTTATATTAGAAATGGCCACATGGATAGCTGCATCACACACATGCTTTTATAAAAAAATAGGCAATAACATTGGTAAAAGTGTTGGGAAATATTAATTAAAGTTTTTACCAGAAATTAACTTGTATGATTTACCTCATAAAAGAAGTATTTAAACAAGAACAACATGTGAGAGGTGTACATGAGAGGCTGTATGCCTCCCTGCTGGCCCTTTAGCTGTTTTCACAATAGAAGAGCCTTGAGTGCCTTTTTTGCTTTTATAAAACATTTACTGCATAATAAATTAATAAATAATGACACATTTTCAATAGATTTGTTCACAGATACTACAAGACACGCTACCCATTCAAAAGTTTGAGGTCAATGTTTTTGAAAGAAGTCTCACCAAAGCTGCATTTCTTTGGTCAAAAATGAAGTAAAAAGAGTTATTTTTTCTATTTTATTTTTTAAAATAATATTTATTTCTGTGATGGCAAAGCTGAATTGTCAGCATTGCACCATGCTTCAGTTTCAAATTATCCTTCAGAAATTATTATAATATGGCATATTTATTTAATATCAATGGTTTTGTGGAAATCATGACAGATTTTTTTCAAGATTTTTTTTATAAATGGAAAGTTTAAAAGAATAGCATTTATTAGCATTTATTACAAGTCAAAGATGTTTCTAATGGCGTATAACAAGATTGGTACGCTATAGACAAATCTGTTTTATAATAAATGTTTTTGGGGATTCTAGAACTGGCAAATGACATGCAAAACACAGAGGGGTGCTTAAATAGAACTATTTTTTTTTTGTTAGCAAAGACAGCATAAACATTACATAAGCTGTGTTGCCTCCTCTCACTGACATTGGCCCGAGGGAATTCTCATCCATCATCAAAAAACATGTAGCCTTACTTACTAGGCTGCAGACTGGAACATGCTCTGCGTGGATCCATCGAAATCTGATATTTTTAGCACAGAGGTCTCTAAAATTAAGTCAAAAGTGAGAGATTGATTGACTTTTTGATCAATATAATATAGTCTAACATGGGAGGTGGGGTTCAGTGTAAAGCGGAGGTATATTTTAATGCTGTTACACAACACATGCTATTATAAATGGAAACTATTATGTGAGTCCACAGGCTCTAATAGAGAGATGGCAGTACAGCAACATAAGCACAGATGGTCACACATTTGGGTTTCATGATGAGTCTAGTCACCTCAACATGAGCGTGAAAAAATGAAGCCTGTTACCACATGTCCAGGCTCTTTCTGTGCCTGGTTTACTTAGCTCAGAGTTCTACAGAGAATGTGCATATAGACCGTATGCACCAGAGATAGAAGCTTGCAGCCATCTTTAGAATTTTGCCTTTGAACTTCCATTCTTACACCCCACTACTCACTTCTGAGTAAGTTGGCCCCCTACCTGGGGTAAGAACTCCCCAACCCTCTAAAATACTAAAAATGTAGTTGAATAATTGAATAACCGATGACTGACAAAGGAGAATCTCAGTAAAAGAGATTCATCTGAAAGGTAAAAGTATTCTGTGACTTAAATAGGCATATGAATATTTACAAATTTAATTGCCCATTTTAAAAAAAAATAAAGATATGTCAGTAACACTATGAATGCAACTAACCTAAAGGTTTTAATTAAAGCGAAGATGTCTGAAATGTATATCTAATTCATGGAATCATGAATAATAACCCCATTAATTACATTAATTATTGAATTTCAAAATAAAAACACTATACTGGTAGTATATTGGGGCTATTGCATACATGATGTCAGTGCACACAAGGATAGTAAAATGTCTGATTGAACAAGACACTTAACAAAAAACATAATATCTAAAGTCCCTGTGGACTTATATACAAATCTAATCCTAAAAATGAGTCGTTCAAAGCAATATTTGCATTCAAACAGGGTAAAATAGAAGTTAAACTTAATCGACAGCACTTAATCGAGGCATGATGATGATTCGATGGATTAGATGACCATAAATGATGATAACGTCTTTAGAGATCAAATAATTTGACAGAAGAATCATGCTGCCTTTCGTTTGCTATCGGAATTATTGTATACGAGTTTCCAAGTTGAAAAGTCATATTTACTACAATTGCTACTGTTTTATTAGTTGTTTCCTCAATGTTTTTTTTTTTCACCTTGTCTTGTCGTTAATTATTTGAAGCGTATTGTAGCATATGTTTTGTACACCGAAAATATAAAAAAAATCCACGAGAATTCCAGTATCGTCAGCAAGCTGACTAAATAGGCTACCTTCTTCTGTGAGAAAATCAGATTACTAATATTAAACTATAGGCTTATACTGAAAACAAAAAGACACATTTGGTATTAAAGTATACTCAATAATGAAATTTAGCTATTTTGTCTTGTAAACTTCACAATTGTGCTTTTAAATCCTTTAGAAATCGGCCGAATATTCTTCCATAGAAATTGCCTCACTGTAGGCTAACCTTGATTTTGCTAAAAAGAAATCTTTTTAAGAAAATTGGGGGATTATTGATATTACTTTGTGTGGTAATCAACATTATGACACAGTTGAGCAGAACTTGTATTTTCCTTTAAGTTAAAAACAGGCTAAAACCTAAACCTGAGACCTGCAATCCCATTAGAATTTGCTGTGTTAACATGTGTCGCGTCTGTGTCAATGTAAGCCTATGTCCAGTGAAGCAGGTAGACAATGAACATGCATTCTTGACTCAATGTGTGATAACATTTCAGTCAATCCAAATAATAAAATGATATATCACATTGTGGTCATTCAAGACCAAATGTGTCCCATTTAATGACCACTTAACTCAGCTGCAGGTCAGTGACTGCAATCTTTTTGTCAGCCAATGATTATCTTTATCTCTAAGTTCAGTAGGTGATAGGATTACTGACCTTCCATGCAAGCCATCACAGTGATTGAATGTTCAATGATGAAGTTGAAATGGTTGACTCCCTGATCCCGGATAACCATAATCGGTATACGTGTGTTTTTGCTGAAGGGACGGTCTAAAGGTCAGTGGAAATTTGACAGCATGCTGATGGCTGTCTATTTTATTTTTAAGACAGGATGTCTACTTTTTTATTGTGCTCCT